AAATTTCCCAAGTGCATGAATGCATATATGCCAATTTGTTTGAATTCATGAGGAAGGAGAACCTTTCTATTTAAGCAAAATGGCTAAATGCATGGACCTTTGTTTAAAGCCAGAATTTTTAGAACCTGCGTTCGTTTTAGTCTTCAGAGTCTAAAAATCGTGTCAAAAGAACAGAATATTGTTTGCTCAACATCTCTTTGAGGTGCTGCGTTTAAAATTACAAAAAATAACTAAAAGAGTTTCAGCTAAATGCGCCAATAATCGTTATTATTAACCCAAAAATACAATCACAACTGTAATCTAATAACTCGCGAATGTGTTCCCTCTGGAGTTTTTTTTTATTAAAAAAAGTTGAAACTGTATTCATTCTTTAATCTTAGCCGGAGATATTCTTTGCCTAAGGGAGTTGGAGAGTCTAGCCAAAAGGACCTTATCTGTGACAATCTTGGATGGATATATATGTGTGTTAAGGAAGTTATTTTTTAGAAAATGTTTTTCATAAGTCATTGCCGTAGTGTTTGATTACCATAAAATATTTTCATCAAAATATTACCATAAAATTTGCAAAAGTAATTTTCTTTACAATTATCTTAACTTTTAATTTGATATTCTTGTTCCAACTAATTATTAATACATATTTAATACTCATAAATTTCATCAAACACAATACTTCGCTAATATTATTATAACTCTATAACACGCTTCACCCACCCACATACGTACAAAAGACTACTGTTCAAAATTGGAGGGAGAAACCGATTTTCACCCGTGTTATAAATCACAACTCCTAAATCATTTTCTATGAATTGTTGCCCAAAAAAAGGATTTACATTTTTTATTTGTTCTTCTTCCCGTAAACTGTCAATGTGAACGTTCCTAGTCTCATCGACCATTATATATCACCCATTCAAATTAATCTCTTCCATTTCCGTTCTCATAAGAACATTTTCCGTGAAAAGTATCTTTGACTAATTTCAGCCTTCTTTTCTTTTCCTTAGACAAAACTTAATTATTTCGGTGTTGTTTTGTTCAATCCTCGGTAGACAAAGTTATCCTATGGGATTATAAGTTTTATTCTAATTTAAATTTATACCTACAACTAAACTCTCGATAAAATTAATCCCAAATTCTATACTTGGATACCCCCAATTCCTGTAAGGCTGTAACCAAACGACCGCTTAGGTACAAAAAAGCCTTTTTCTTGAGAAAGCAGAGCTGGCTAAAGCTGGAAAACAACAAATGCTTTATGGTACCTTTTGCATGATTGAAGGAAGCATTTCAGGTGGAAGCTTTAACTTGTTTTTTCTAACGTTTGGTCAAGAATCAACGCCTATTATTAAACTTGGATCAATAATATTGTTTAACAAAAATTGTAAATATCTTAAGACAAAATTTTCCAACTTGTAATACTATGTATTAATCTCTAAGTACCTAAACATTATGACATGTATTAAATCTGCTTTAACTTTTGCTGAAAATGTAAACTACTAGATCTTTGGAAAGATGGTAAAATCATATCTAGTCAAAGCAGTCTCCACGGGCACATGGGTCCTTCAGATCTCTAGTGATCCGCAACTACTTTCAGCATCCTTTGTGGACATCCTACATGTATTTCACTATGAGAGTGCCTGACTGGTTGAAAGAATTAAAGCTCATAGACGGAGCTAGTATTTCAAGTTTATTGGTTTGAGATTCTAATCGGTTTAAGTTACTGAGTTCTAAATTAATAATTTATACATATTCAATAAAAAATTTAAGACAAATACAAGGTTCAAACTAAAACTATTGGGTTCGGCCGAACTCGTTGGCGACACTCTAGCTCCGCCCCAGTTAAAGCTAATACTATTGGATGAGCTTTAACGTTTAGGCTTCCACTTTTCTTTGTTTTGTTTTTCTATCCTGTGTTCGATATTTGCTTTGAATTTCGACTAATGAGGATTTGCATAGCATGTTTACAATCTATTAAAACGAAAAGTGCTTCCTATCAATTTTTTATTATTTCTAAAGCTCGAATTTGAAACCTTTAATCAAAAAGAGATTCTATCCATCCCGCTACAACCTTAAGTGGTAAACTTAGGCTCCATATTCAATAGTTAGAAGAAGTAAAAATACCATTAATTCTGATTAATTATTTTGAAGTGAATGGCTTTTGTCTATAATCAGAGTCCAGAGTGTATAAGATAAAATATGTTCATATTTTATGATCATATGAGAAAGCGACACGTGGAGCCTAAGAAAGAAGACAGTCAGGACCGAAGGCAACAATCCCGTTTATTATCGGAGACAATGATATTCATAAAGGCGAAATAAATATCTGCCACCCGATAGCATTCAATGAAGAATATTCTATAGCATTAAGTGCACGGTCCGTTACAGAGAATATGACATTCACTGCCTACCGTTACTCATTCTTCAATGGCCCTCATAATTGTCATTTAAGAGGGGCTTGATCCTAGGATCTTGTTCCCTAGGTGCGACTATAAATAGTGAGCTCTACCATCAATGTAGAGTATACGAATTTTCTGACAAGCATACACTATATTCTATCAAAAGCTCAATAATATTTTACTTTCTTGCTTATTCATATTGTTATTACTGCCTCCGGAAGCTCTGTTCCCGGAACCAATATTTTTGTTATTTTATCCCAATTTCAAGGGTAAGTCTTACTTTTTTGTCTAATTTATTTATCATTTTAGGATCAAATCGATTCAGTTGTCTATAAATCACGTATAAATTCAATTGTACCATTTTACGGGTAAATAATATAGCGCCCACAGTGGGTCTTAGACAGTTGTGTAATTGAATTGATCCCTGCATCTATTACTAACTTATTTGATTCTTTGTTCTTAGCTAAAATCATTAAAAATGGCAGGTAACGGTGTCAACATCGCACAAAACGTTGGGGCCCAAGGAAATCAGCCTCAGCACGAAGATTCCATCAGCAATACCCTCAACGAGGAGGATCGAGGTTAACCCCGACAAAATTAAAGTCATCGAAGATATTCCGGACCAGCTATCAAGCGTAAAATAGGTTCAAAGGTTGACAGGGAGACTAACCGCTTTGAGCAGATTCATTTTCCGCTCTTCAAAAAAATGCCATCATTTCTTTGCACTCCTAAAAAAGAAGAATAACTTTGAATGGACCCCGGAATGTCAGCAGGCTTTGAAGGATTTGAAAGGGTATTTTTCAAGTCCTTCATTACTGTCAAAATCGGAGGAAGGAGAACAATTATTGATCTACTTAGCGGTCTCGGAGGTAGCGGTAAGTGCCGTTTTAGTCTGTAAGGGCGAAGGTATGCAATCTCCTATTTATTACGTTAGTAAAATTTTAACGGGAGCAAAAAATTGCTACCCACATCTGAAAAAATTGGCCTTAGCTCTCGTTGTCGCCGCTTGAAAACTAAGGCCTTATTTTCAATGACACCCGATAGCTATGCTAACCACTTTTTCCATATGGAGTATTCTTCATAAACCTGAACTCTCAGGTAACCTGGCCAAATGGGCAGTCGAAATGAGTGAATTCGACATAGAATACAAACCTAGGACTGCGATTAAGTCACAAGTTTTGGCCGACTTCGTGGACGATTTTAGTCCGGGACTGTTACCTTTGGCTATCAAAGAAGCAGTAATTGTGTCATAATCGACATCATGAGTTTGGACCTTGTTCACAGACGAAGCTTCCAATGTGAAAGGGTCCGGGCTCGGTATAGTGTTAACCACGCCCTCGGGAGAAACCCTAAGGCAGGCCATAAGAACTGTTCCTCTGACTAACAATGAAGCAGAGAATGAAGCTTTAATTGCAGGGCTCGAACTGGCCCAAGGACTGGACTCTGAGGTCATAGAAATCAAATGTGACTCCCAATTGATAGTAAATTAGGTCTACGGGATCTTCAAAGACAAAGAGGAACACATGCAACAATACGTAATGAAAGTCCGGGCTATGCTCGCTCGGTTCAGGGAATGGTCAATTATATACATCCCGAGGGAAGAGAATACAGAAGTAGATGCACTAGCCAATCTTGGATCGTCTACAAAAATTAAGGGATCAGCCTCTGGTACGGTCATACAACTTATGCATTCAGTATTGTACGTGGATAGCTATTACGAGGTAAACACGAGCAATTTGGTGTGGGACTGGAGAAATGAGATCATTGACTACTCGAGCACCGAAATTGCATGAAGAACCTAAGGCATCTAGGGCGCTGTACACTAAAGCAACTCGATACAGCTTCAAGGGAGTTCAATTGTACAAAATATCTTTCCAAGACCCGTTCGCCCGATGTTTGGGAGCCTCCGAAGCTATCTATGTTATGCGAGAAGTAAACGAAGGGATCTGCGTAAATCACTCAGGCGTGGATTCCTTTGTGTTAAAATTAATTAGGGCATGATACTGCTTGCCCCTGATGGAACAAGACGCCAAGGCTTATGTTAAAAAATATGATAAATGTCAACGCTATGCATCGTTGGTGCATTAACCGGCAGAGCCACTTCACTC